GTAGACAGTGAGTAATTGATCTGCGGTCAGAAGTATTATTGACGTTCGTTGTTACAGCGTTTTATTTAGCGCGATTGTTGAAGTTGAGTGTATCGGTAAAGTTGTATTCGGAAAGAATAAACCAGTTTTATTAAGTAAAGAACTTGTGTCGCTAAAGTTTCGTCGGAACGAAGTTACGGAAAGTTAATTAACAAACGGAGACGTAACAATATCATTTCAAGCAGTACAGTCTCCTTTCTTAAAACTGCGTCAGTCAACAACATTAAGTTAAGAAAAAACTGTTTAACGACTTTCCAAATGGCTGGGATGAGATTAAATACATTGATGATAGTTTTAAGATGCATCTTCTTTTTTTCAAAAACACAAAAAAGCATATATAGAGATTTAAATGACACAATTTATAGAAAGAATAATATCAAAAGTTATAGAATGGCATAGGCTGGACGAATCTCGAGTAAATGCAGCTTCTTTCTATAATCCTGATAAACTTGTCGAAATAACGGTAAATTAACATTATTTACTTATTTTATTTGGTCAAACTGTGGTAAATGACCGTCACTCTTATAGCACAATCACGCCACCAAAATGCCGAACGCTTTTTGAGAGCAACAGTTTGTGAATAATGAAACCTCGGATTTTGCAAGCGACTTCTCGCTAACTCTCACTGCCGTTTTGTGGTCTACCTTAAAAATACGGTTAATTTATGCGATTCTTCTGTTCGTAGCATGGCTGTATGTATTCTGTGATCTGTCCAAAACTATACCAGTATTTATACGTCGGAGTTAGTTGTATATAAATATCATGAAGATCGCCAATCTGTATTCTCAAAGAGGGGGAGGGATCGTATGTATACTTATCTGTATTGGCTGTGTACATTTAATATTTCCCTTAGCTTATTTTTGAAAGACTCATGCTTTGAACTCATTAGCGGTGAGTTTCGTTTTTTTTTCCCTATAATTATTTACGGCTAGCTAAAATTAGTGATATTGTTGTTAATTTAACATTAAATGATGAAGATGTTTCTCCAGGAATATTTAGAATAAACTCTGAAATTTTGTGTGAAGGATCCTAATTTTTATTTTAGATTTTTATCCATTTGTAGTTAAACACAATGCTATTTAATGGGCTACCTGTGCTGTGTCCATCACGGGTATTGCAACCCGATTTCTGTTGTCACAAGGCTTCAGACTTACCGCTGTGCCACTAGGGGAGGGCCTTACTTTAGGTAATGAAATCTAAGAAAAAAACTGAAGTTCATGTTTAGCTGCTAAGTTAGCCTGCTTATTCTAATCTTACCCTGAAAAATATTGATCATCCCGATGGTCTTTTGAATAAAATTCGTTATATGATATACGTTTGTTAATGGCATCTTTGTGCTTTAACAAATCAAATCAGCTTTTACGTTTTGGAATAGCTTAATATGTAACGACTCTGCAACACCTTCATTTATTTGGTAATTAGCTTGTGTTCTAGTTTGGTTTTCTTTTTTTAAATAAGATTTTTTCTGATAATGCCTTTGTTCGTTATTTAAGGAAAATAGACAATAAAAGTACTAAGTTTATTGCTGGCGATTCAACGCTTTTGACTAAACTTTTAAATGGTAAAGAAAAATTATCAGTCCTAAATTATATAAAATTACATGTCTTTATAAAATCCATCACTCTATTTCTATTTCAAATAAATTGCTATACCATATTAAGCTTCCATATGATAATACTTACCGCCAAATAAAACTGCGAGAACAAGAACCAAGTTTCCTATTGAAAGATATTTTAAACAGTCTTTTTCTTCCTGCTCTGCTTCTTCTCGAGCACAAATTACTGCATCAGTGAAATTTCTGATCTTTCCTGAGGATGTTAAACAATATTAGTGAAAGACATTTCTGCAACAGATTCCACACAATATTTGAAATTTTATATGTTCAGATAGAGACTTTCAAGTCATTGTTTTCAGCACAAAGAAATCACGAGATACACTGTGTTTGTTGAAAAGTAACCCACAACAGTGGCTATACAACACATACACTTCAACAGGTAAAAATTGTAAACTCCTTTGACAAAAGTATCCAGATATGTACGTAGTTACAGAGAGACTTCTAATGCATGATCACTGTCCTAATGTGGTGTATTTTTTGTTTGTTTTTTCTAAAAGGAAGCTCGGCTATTTTATGATAATGAAAGTATTTGGTTTAACTTTTCGAAACATTTACTTCAGGTAGATTCAAACATGTTCTATACATGTAAGATTTGAGATTTTACAGGACCATCCTAAAGTATAAGTATTATTATTACTTTGAAACCAGGTATTGGTTATACCTGCTTTTATTCACAAAGAACATTAGCCTGTTGAATTTGTTTGTTTGTTTGTTATTAATTTCGCGCAAAGCTACACGAGGGCTATCTGCGCTAGCCGTCCATAATTTAGCAGTGTAAGACTAGCCAACTCTTGGGCTACTCTTTTTACCAACGAATAATGTGACTGACCGTCACATTATAACGCACCCACGACTGAAAGGGCGAAAATGTTTGGTGTGACGGGGATTCGAATCTGCGACCCGCAGATTGCGAGTCGAGCTTAATAAACTTAGTCAAATATTTTGCCTGGCAGGAGAATGTTGTCGGTTATAAAGTTAACCATTTTTTAAAGAAATTTTTCTGAACTATTTTTGTACCAGGTAGCTTGTAGGTCTACGAGTGTTTTAGTGACATGATCCCTAATAAAATACGAGTCACCAAAATATAAACAAAACTACTATAAAAATTGCAATTAATCCCACTAGTTTTTGCTGGGCTTTCCTGTGTACCTTAAAGGAAAAAAAAAGTAATTTCACCCAGTTTGTTTCATCACAATGATTGTTGTAACTGTTAAAAGCATAAACTTACTCATTATGGTGGAATATGTAGACCCCACTGGTAGTGAGTTGTTAACAAACGGGTAAGTAATTTCAAGGTTAAGGTACAACGTGGATAGAATAATGGTCACGCACAAACTTAACTCTGCTTTCTTTACTTATAGATGACATCTCATATTTGATCCTGAATAAGATTAAAAAAAGATAATGAACCATTATCAACTTTATTTGCTCACCATCTTCATATGTTTTACAGTGTTCGGTGTACTGCTTCTGTATGACATCCAAAAACTCTCGATAGGCCTTCTTGACTTTCCATTCTCGGTGGAGAAAAAATAATCTCAGGGCTGGGAAAAAGTCACTAGGAAGACCATTTCTGAGCTCCCAATAGATAACTTCTGGAGCATTTTTGATGACAATAAAATCAGGATCAGATGCATGAAACCTAAAAAGGTTAGACAATTTTTATTTACATGTTGGGAGTGTCTTTACCACTGATTATGACACATGAACAAATGTATAGCCTCATGAACTACGACGTCTTTAATCAACAGTGGTCACTCACTATGGTTTCTGTACATACTATATTTTTCAGAGACTAACAAAAACTGATGCAATAAAAGAGAGAGCTGACAGTTGTTAGATTTATAAAAAGAGCTAATTTTCAATAGGGTTGTTTGTTTGCTTGTTTTAAGCGAGAAACTGCGCGATAGACTTTCTGCGCTGTACCCATCGGCCTTTTACTCAGTTCCAGGAAAAGTACGATAAACCATTACCAACACATATTAATGAACCTATAATATGAGTGGATTAACCAAGTAGCAACTTATGTTGCTTCAAGAAAATTATAATTATTTTATAGATGTTTGTTTCGATTTTCGCATTTTGATGTGACAGACTTATAGGGAAGGAAGCTAGTCAACACTATCCACCACAAACTCTAATCGAATAGTGGGATTTGATCGTCACTCTTATAACGCACACAGCCCCAAAGTGCTGTTTTGCGTTAACGGGATCCACAGTCTGTCATGTCAAGTATTGGGCCACGTTCGTCCTTACAGGTGAGAATAGTTTATATAAGCAATGTTATGACCATAATTATATGTCCTTAATATCAGAAGTTAAAACCATGGTACTGAGTCATTGTTTAGTTTAATAATAGTAACCCTATCTTCTGTTACCGATGACTAGCTTCTTTATAGGCAGTGCGATAACAGCTTAATATATATAAAAGTACAATATTAAACTCCGTCCATTTTTGCACAAATTTTGTATGCGTGTATTTTGTTACGGTTAATCGTATGCTGTTAATTTCCCGAGGAAGAGCGAGGGTATATGTTGTTGATATGTTTGTTTTGAATTTCGCACAAAGCTACACGAGGGCTATCTACGCTAGCCGTCCATAATTTAGCAGTGTAAGACTAGAGGGAAGGCCACCCATCGCCAACTCTTGGTGGGATTGACTGTCACATTATAACGCCCCCACGGCTGAAAGAGAAATGGTGGGATGCGGATTCGAACCAGCGACCCGCAGATTGCGAGTCGAGTACTATAACCAATCGGCCATGCCGGGCCCTGTCATTGATATGGTACGGGTCTTATAGGTCCTTGATCGACTTTAAAGCAGTAGAATCTTTTATGAGGCGAGTGTAGCCATACGATGCTTAAACATTAAAAACAACTTAACAGTCGGGTATTTCTATACATCATAAATATCAAAGTAACATACTATAAACAAACAGGTATAAATGAAAACAATTATCTAATAAAACTTATGTTGTTAGTGTTAACTTTTATATTATCATTGAGATTTTAGATTCAAAACTGGATTAACATTACAGTGCAGCGATTTTCCTTCATCACTATATTTTGACCTAAACCCGATTATCTAACAGAAAACTAGTAAAGAAATGGACGGGCCATCACCTCCATTCTCTGTGTACTATAAATTAATATGTGCGCTAAGTCCAAGAATTAAAAGCGAAGAGGACCATAAAATTAAAGGGGATATTTGTAATGAATGCCTTCAACAATAGCTTAATACAAAATATCAACTCACCTCAAATGATTTATAGTTTTCAGAGTCGTATCAGTACTTGAAAAAAAACCATCAACTTCTGAATTGGCATTTATAAAATGCCTATGGATATACTGTATAACCATATTTTACCATGTATTGCTAGTTATCAATACTAGGTAGTAAAAAGGTAACAATGGGTATTTCAACAACTATCCCACATGTACAGGCGTTGGTCAAATGAATGACCTTTGTCGAAGGATCCACGAAGATAGTCGAATATATTTAATTTGAAGATTTAGGTGGTTTGGTATGTATTCCCAAGAGAGTGTTGTAAATATTAACCTACCGTTTTTTATTTCAGATGCCTAGATTATATTCTAAAAACTTACTTTTTCCCAAATGCTATTCCTGCAAGAATGTTTGAGACTATCAATCTTGCATGCTCTAGCGGATCAAAAGGCATTTTTTCTTCCAACATCCGGTCAACTGCTTCATCTACAAGTTCTGGCACCAAGTTGGCAAGCTTTTCACTCATCACGTACTTCCTGCAACGTAAACGATTATCAAAAGGGCTAACTAATCACTTCACTTACTATTCAAAACGGAAGATCAAATGGCCTTCCATCATTTAAGCGAAGAAGATACTGAGTAGCGAGTGAGTACTGCAACTAATAACTGATGAGAGAGTTCTCACAGAGTCCAGAGATTAATTTTATAATAATATTAATAATATTACCTTTAAATATTCTAAGTTACTGGGTTTTCAACTTGGATTACTCTGGGATTAAATAATGTCCCTTAGAATTGGGGAAAATCATTAAAGTTTGATTTTGGTATTCGACAAAAAAAAAAACTGTCTGAAATCGAATAAAGTACACTTAATTTTCACAACAGTTACCAATAGAAAAACTTATTGAGATATCACGTTTTCCTGCGTAAGTTATATACATATTAAAAAAACTGCGATAACAAAATGTAAGTAACGCTAACTTTGAGTGAACGAATGTAAACTCTCATATAAGAACCTTATAAATTAAGGTTTAAGTTAATTACCTAACTGTTATTTGAAGAGATTTAACAACTGAGATAGAGGAGAAAAAACCAACACTTGTTCTACTTGTTTGTAATTGCTTACACAGCCTTGAAGTTAAAAAAATAAACTAATTGCACAAAAACCGAAAGAATTTTATAACTAAAACAAATTTTACCAAGCAACACATAATAACTCTAACGCTAAGAAAAAAACTTGTCCTTCCAAGATGAAAGTTATTCGTTATTGGGATTTCACCTATATAAGCCCCCCAGTGGCACAGCGGTATGTCTGCGGACTTACAACGCTAGAAACCGGGTTTCGATACCCATGGTGGGCAGAGCACAGATAGCCCATTGTGTAGCTTTGTGCTTAACTACAAACAACATCACCTATATATATTTATACATATTCCTTTGGGAGTTATAGGTGCCATACAGACTTGTTGGCAAATAGAATTTGATAATTGTGAAAATGAAAATCTTTCCAATGTTCTACGTTTTGATACGCAGAAAGTTCTCGTTTTATTCCAGTTATTGGTGTTTGTTTGTTGTTAAGAGCAAAGTTATATGCAATGGGTTATCTGTACTGCGCCCACCACAGGTATCGAAACCCAGTTGTTAGTATTATAAGCCTTCAGACTTATCGCTGAGCCACTAGAGGGGGGTCCACTTTTTAAAAATAAATAAAACTGACGCAATCACGTTCTGGAATTAGGTCTATATAACACAAAAGTATGTTGAAAGTCACCACACACTAACTGAACGGTATCTGTTTGTTTTTGAATTTCGCGCAAAGCTACACGAGTGCTATCTGCGCTAGCCGTCCCTAATTTAGCAGTGTAAGACTAGAGGGAAGGCAGCTAGTCATTACCACCCACCGCCAAATCTTGGCTACTCTTTTACCAACGAATAGTGGGATTGGTCGTCACATTATAACGCCCACACGGCTGAAAGGGCGACCCTCAGATTGCGAGTTGAGTACCTTAACCACCTGGCCATGCCGGGTCGAACGGTATCTGAATACACGCTCAACATATGATTGTTTTCCATAATTATGTTTTTTTTTTCGTTTGTTTCTTTGGAATTTTGCGCAAAGCTACCCGAGTATATTTTCGAACCTCAACTTACCTCATTCTAGGATTGCTTTTCTTAATACTCTTGACATTAATAACAGACTATGTTATCAAGAATTCAGCTTTTTTTTATAATACATATTACGACACTGTTACAAAAAACACACAATATACTTCTTCATGAAGCGCCCCAAACCCCCCCCCCCCATCCCCAAACAAATAACTTTTCTATATCCTGCACCTATATTAC